CCAGACATTCCTACTCCAACAAAACCGAATACTAGTTTGGTTTTGCTTTTGGTTAGCAATGTATCCTAGAACGCATATATATAAGCGGAGGTAGGTTTGCTAACCGTTGTATTATGTTGTAGATGCTCTTATAAAGTCTACTTAGAATCACTGAAAAGCCTACATCGAAGGACACTGTAGAGCCTAGATTCCATGACTGAAAGACTATTCGAATTCAGACTTCAATCACTATTTCAAAGGACACTGAAAAGCCTATTCGACGGTGACATGATAAATCACTATAAAGGCTAGATGCTATAGATGTACTGCACAAATATACTTTAGGCAGAAAATTTTGGCATAATTTTCCCTATTTTTTGATGCAATCCATACACAAATATGACATGAATATTTAACCTCAATACAACGTGTTCAGACATACAAATATATGTCACATTTATCTCAAACCATATACATGAGCATATTAATAGTCCACACAATCCATAATTATAGTCCATAATAATAGTCCATACAGTCCATAATAATAGTCCATACAGTCCACAATAGTTCATAATGAAAGTCCACAAAGTCCATAATAGTACATAATAACATCTACCATAAACTCTACCATAAACTCTCAGTGCCTCCTAGTCTTACCCTTACTCCTGTGATTAAGAACGTCGATGCATGGAGTGTAAGGGTCAGGTAGACGGCGTCGTCTAGTGCCTAGATGCTATGTAGGCTGAGTCGAGGGAGCGTCCTTACTCCTGTGATTAAGAACGTCGATGCATGGAGTGTAAGGGTCAGGTAGACGGCGTCGTCTAGTGCCTAGATGCTATGTAGGCTGAGTCGAGGGAGCGTCCTGTAGCTGAGACGGTCAAAGCTTTTTGTGCCTCTAGTCCACCTCCTCCTCATACACAATGTCTATGGACCCTATAGGTGTTTGGCTAGACGAACATAAGCCTCCTCTGCCTGTGGAAGGAACATGCACGTCTTGCGTCGTGGTTGTCCTGCAACCACAACGAGCAGCCGCACAGCGTAGCCGACGTGACAATGTCTATTATATAAAATCATATTAACTGAAAGAATTTAACGTATTAATATTATACATAATTTTTAGAATCTCACGTCTAGGAAGCTATGCGTGTCGTCGTCTCTGACTCTCGAACGAAAGCGCTCAATGTCTTCAACCGAGCATTTGAGGGTGTTGCGCTACAACAAAGTTCTCAGTAAGATTGTATTGGTATGCAACTGAACATAGAAAAATAAGGCAATTGGCTTACCACTCTATCCAAGATTGGTCCTACCTCCACCTGCCTTCCTACACGAGTAGTTTGGTCATACGTCATGTCTTCGTCGTCAGAGGACTCGATGTCGGCGTAGTCATCTTCTGTCCATTGTAGCCTCAGCCTGCAACGTGTCGCACCTTGGTACCAAGCTTGGTAGCGCCTGTACTCACGGTTCGTGTGCGGCTCGTCGTTCTCGTCCATGTTAGCGTCCAAAGCTCCCACTGTTCAATGTAGCAGTGTTGGTGCTTCTCCGAATAAAAAATCTTCCTATTTTTTTACGATCCAACCTGCACGTCAGGTACGCCATCATTAGTGAAGTTTTCATACGAAGTAATACAAATTTGTGCAGAAATTTTCGGCAGAGTTTTCTTTGTTTTTTGATGCAAACCAAACAAAAAATATGACGCAAATATATGCATTCCATACACTCATATTCATCTCAATCCATATATATATATGACCATATTAAAAGTGCACGTACGTCATCATTACTTCATTTTATATAAGAACTAATGGAAATGGACTATAACGGGACAATTGAAATAACAGAACACTTGGGTAAGTCAACGCCAGTCGAAAACGGAGCCATTGGCCAAAGCTGTCTCACTCCAAATTGACGTGCAACTCTATCTGGCAGGTGGAACTCGATAGCATAGAAGCTGATTAGAGGGCACCTCATCATGTAGAAGTCATAGTCGCACCTACACATGTTGCTCAACCGAAAAGAAAGTGCCCTCTCTCCATCGTACGGCTTCCATAACACCTGCAACATGTCGAAACAAGATGTTAGATGTTATACTAAACCATTTCAAACCAGCATGGAAAATAAAATTTACTTACACTAGAGACCGTGAGCGTGTCTAGCTCATTCGTGAACTCAATGTACGCCTGCTTTAACCTCGCGTGCGGAACTCTAACCTGGTCCCGAATGTACGCCCACGTCGGCTACTGACGTGGAGGCTGACCTCGAAACTAGTCACGACGAGCCCGAACCTCGGGACGGCCAACTGGTAGACGAGCCCACATCCATAACTGGAGTAGGTACACGCATCGACCAAGTGAGGCTGAGGACGAACTCCGACGACACGCCTCGCAAAGCTACCGGTAAAGAAAAGCCAACACTGCAGAGCCCCAACTGTACTGACCCGCCTGGTCTCAGTCAGTGAGGCAGTGGACCCACATCCACGACGCAGTGTCCCTCGTTTGCGTCGGGGATGAGAACACAAGCAAACAGGTGTAGGATCCACGCCCTGCAGTAGTACCCAACTGTCTCGTCGTCTGTCTCCTCAGGGCACTGTGCGAACTCTTGCCGGAGCTAGGAGATTAGAACTCAAGAAGTGCGAGCCCCTTCCTCACCAACCTCACGCCTAAGGAAGGCCTCTACTCATGCTCTCCAACCTTCTGACCTGCACGGCCCAGTCACTGCATTGCCGTGAATCCTCAAACCTAGCATCTTATAGTTCTAGAGAGTGACTGTCATCTCTCCGAAAGGCAAGTGAAAGTTGTGAGTCTACGGCTGCCACCTACATTTTAGACAAAGCAAGATTATATGTCAGAAAGGCAAGCGCATAAACAAATGCGTATGAATGGAGGCAATGGTTGAAGATAACACCTGTCAACCAACGCAGTTAAGGTCATTGAGTTGAACGTGGGCAACTCACGACGAATCTGAAAAAAATGACATCTAGGCCAGCTCTTTGTAGAAAAAGAGTGTACCTATTGTCGTACTGCATGTCCAAGCACCCGTTGTGGGTTCTAAGACGAAGGAGCAGAAGGTCCTGCATGTAATAAAACATAGTCTCCCGTTGCTTCACGAACACATGTACGCTTATAAAAATTTGAATAAGACGTATAGATTATTACCTGCCCCTCCGCTATGAGACGTCCTCGGTGTGTCTCCTCGTACGCTGGGTCAAGCATATGAAATTGCACCATCCTAAAAAAAATCAATGAAATAAAAATTTAATATATAATAAAATATAAACTTAGAAATATACAAGTAATTGACACAATTAGAAGCATAAATTGAGACATGCATAATTAATGGAATGAATACGATAAATATGAAATAATAAAAATAACCAATAGTCGCACCTCACTAATCTGCCAATGGCAAGTGTGTGAATTGTGGCCTAGTCTACCGCACTTGCCACGCTCGTACTGCTCGGGGTCAGTAAGAAATAGAGTTCCTCTCCTACGCCTCGTTCTTCCGGGTATCTGATCCATAACCATCCCGCGCCTCGTTCTCTTCCTGGATCCACGCTTGTTCCAACGATAAGCTGGATCCGCAATGTACTTTGGCCCGTCATATGGAGGCCACTCTCCAGGGTCCCGAAAAGACACGAAGCGGGGGCTCCATGTGTGCACAAGCGCGGCGCCTAGGGTTGGGGGGCGCGGGGCGTGGGCCTGGGGGATGGGGCGCCGAGCCGGTGGGCGAGGCGGGGCGCACGGCCGGCCGGGAGCGGCAACGGTGGACGGGGCGGGGCGGGGCGAGGAGTGGTGCCGGCGGCGGGAGGCGTCGGGCGAGAAAGAGAAGAGAGAGAGAAAGGAAGAGAGGAAAAGGAAGGAAGGAAGAGAGAAAGGAAACGGATCCACCTATAAGGCCGGTTCAACGCTAAGATCTTTGCGCCAAGCTCGGCACCAAGATCTGCGGCGCCGAGCTGGCTGCCATGTAACCGGCAGCTCTGCTTTGGTGCCGACGTGGCTCCAAGACCTAGGTGCCAAAAATTATGGCGCCGAGACGTATAAGCTCAGCGCCAATTACTCCGGTGCTGAGGTGAGGGTCCAGATTTTGAAATTATATCTCCAGGAACATATTTATGAAAAACTTTTTAAAAAAGGGCTAAATAAGAAAAAAAAATCGGGCGTTATGACTTGTTGGTTGTTGCCGGATGTGGCTGTGTGGACCGGCTGATTGACTGCTATTTTCTGAACTCTGTTTCTTCACAGCGCTTAAACCTTTGTTTGGGCTATGTAATGAGTTCAGCGGATCAATGAATCAGGGATACAGAGGAGCAGGCGCAAGGTACTCATCAAACTGTATGCAATAAAGAGCTCACAACAGCTGAGACTTCGGACATGGAAATCACAATGGGCCTGTTCGTTGGTTGGTGTTGGTGCTGGTGCTGGTTTAGGCTGGCTGATGCTGGTTTTTTTTAGAGGAAAACACTGTTGGCTGGTTGGTTTGGGCTGGCTGAAACCAACAAACGAACAGGCTGAATAGAAAATACTGAAAGCAGTTTTGTCGTGAGAAAAAAATACTGTAGATTATAACTGATAAGCCGACTGATAAATTTAAACGAACATGCCCTTAACTGGAGTGGAGTTGACCTTGCGTCGCAAGTGCCGAAAACACATCAAACAAAACATTGAAACTGCCGAACCAAACGTCCTAGCATTCGTTAGCGACCTCCCTCTGTCCGCTCCCTTTATCAATTGTTTCTGAAAATCAGATTTCCTGAGCTGTTTCTACCACTTGCTCCCTATCCGAGCGTATTTGTGTGTTCAGACGTTCCCGCCAGACATTTCCTGTCGAAGCATTAGATCTGCCAATTGCCAATTGGTTAGGCATGCAAGGTTCAAGGATTTGCAGTAAACTACTGAAAACTTGACTGACGGAACGGCCGTTGCAACGAGACGTACGTTCTGACAGAAACGGTAGGTCTAATCTAATAAGCCACGCTACCAGCAGTACTGCTCGTGTTAGCTCTGTACAGTGACTGTAATGCAGCAATGTCCTCTGTGATTAGCGTAAATCAATTGATTTGGTGCTGATTAATGGTGGACAGCTGCACAACTGAACACCTGCTGTGCCCTTTCAAGTCAGTTCGTTTCTCTTCCTCGCACGGGGCGCTACTTGGTTGGCCTTGTAGTATCAGCTACTGAGTACTGATCGATGGTGAATAATCATGCTTCTAGTTTTTTTTTTCCAGCACTACTGGTAGATGGCGAACGGAACGGTGATGCTGCAAAAGTGCAAAGTCAGTTAGTTTCCTCGTTTTTTTTTTTTTGCAAGCGTGGGACAATTGGTTAATGCTGATGTTGGGCAGTGATCGATATTCAATGGTGAGCACTGAGCACTGATGCTGCGAAGTCAAAGAGCTGTGATGTTTCTTCGCAAGTCGGTTCTTTAATGCCTTACGCACTTACGGCGGTGCATAACAGCTGAAAGAGGTTAGGCAGTGCGGAGCAAGTCGAAAGAGATCTGAAACCGGGTCTGCCAAACTGCAAAGTAAAAGTCGTCTTGTGCCCAGTTTAACAGTGCAGTGCTTCTTCCACTCACGGAGACTCGTCTATTGAATAGCAGCGAATTCGTCGTGAGTAGGTAATACATTTTTCGGTCATACCAGATATTGGGTAGGAAAGTTCGTTTAGGGCTGTCGTTCGGTTATCTTAGAACACGGCTAGAAACTAATCTGGCTGATCAATTTTTATACAATTGTTTTAGGGAATTATTTCTTGAGAACCGAACAAGCCCTTAGAATGAAACAATTTCAAACATGTTTGGTTCCAAGAAGCAAGAGGAATTTAAAAGTAATCTAATAATAAAATGAAATACATTTTAGATATTGGATTTAATTCTTTTTTTGTGTGCGACTAAGATACTGGATTTAATTCCTGAGATACAAACAAGCCTAGATAATTCTAGGACGATAGGATTAGGAACACCAAATTGGAGAAGCATTTTCGCAGGAATTTCGTGTAAATTGCTGAGCATAATTCACGTTGACTACTTGACCTGGCTGCTTGGACGAAATTTCTGGGGAGCCAACTGTCAAGATATACACAGTATCGGTACGAATCCTCAATAGACTCCTGAGTCAACCCGGTCAACTCTACTCCCGGTCTGTCTTCCCTTTCCCAGTCCCCAAACGCCCAAAAAGCCCCAAACCGCATCCGCGAAGGCGCACCTCGCCGCGCTCCCTTCCATCTCCCGCGTCCTCGTCTGGAACCGCACCAGGGCCAAGTCCGCGGCGCTCGTCGCCAGGCTCCGCGAGTCGCACCCGGGGCTCGCCGTCGAGGAGGTGGACGGCAACGGCATGGACGAGGCCGTCGCCGCGGCGGACGTCGTGAGCTGCGCCACGGGGTCGCGGGAGCCCATCGTGCGCGGGGCGTTGCTGCGCCCCGGCGCGCACCTGGACCTGGTGGGGTCGTTCACGCCCGCGATGCGGGAGTGCGACGACGACGCGCTGCGCCGCGGGAGGGTGTTCATCGACTTCGAGGCGGCGATGGAGGAGGCCGGGGAACTGGTGGGCGCGGTCCAGCGAGGCGTGCTGAGGAGGGAGGACGTGGCCGGGACGCTGTCTGAGCTGGCGGCCGGGACCGTGGTGGGGCGACGGAGCGACGACGAGATCACCGTGTTCAAGTCCGTTGGCACCGCCGTGGTGGATCTCTTGGCGGCGCAGCTGGCCTACGAGACGCACGTCGCCGCAACCAAGGATGCTCATGCTTGAGCGTCCAGCTTGTAGTTGTAGATGATGCGGCCGGTGTTCCTTTTTCTTCTCCAACCAACGAGTCAGAACTCAGAACACAAATAAACGGATCAGCTCAATCCTTATTATGCATTAAAAAAAAGTGGGTGATAGATTCACTTGTTGATGGATTCCAATAAGAATGTACGTTTTCCCGTCCTGTTCGGCTTTATAAGCCGTATTTTTTCAGCTAACAATATTTTTCTCTCACAATAAATCAGCCAATAATACTTTTAGTCATAGCTTATCAGTCAAATGAACAGGAGCAATATTGTTGTTTGTGCTTACTCATGTTTGTTGGCAAAGTGAATCTTTTAATTGGCAAGTGTTCATGGTTAAAATGGAGCTCCATGGTTCGAACATTTGCCAGACCATCATGATTTTTAGGATCTGTTTGGAATAAAGGATTCTAAAACGTAGGAAAGAATACTATGGGCTGTTTGGATTGCACAAATATGATTGAATCATCACATACCCCTAAATAATAATGCCCTATTCGCTTGGCTCATAAGCCGTGGCTGAAAGTACTGTTGACTGATTTGTTGTGAGAAAAATAATGTTATTTATTAGCTGAAAAAATATGACTTATAAGCCCAGCGAACATGGCGTAAATCAATTCTAACTGTTGCGGCATCCTAGAGTGATTTAGAGGCTCAGAGAGTCATAAGTCACCTATCATATACTATTATTATTTAATTCATAACTACGTCTTTTTATTATAGCAGTTGTACACCTGTATCATCTATAGGTAGTCTGTTCGTTTGCCTGTGGCTTGTCGTAAACGATCGTAAATTTTCAACCGGAACAGTTTTTTTCTCTCACACAAAAGCAGTACTTCTTCACGAACCAGCAACGATATGAACAAGCCAACCGAACAGTGAGGGCCTGTTTGCTTGGAGGAATTTGGATGGTTTGGAGGAATGCTGGAGGAATTTGTGAGAGAAAAATGCTGTTCCGGATAAAAAAAAAGCGGATCAAACCAAATTTAAGAACAGGTCTATCCTAGCTTAATCATCTAACCAGTTGCTGGCCATTCTCTCTCCCGTGAACGCCATTCTTTCTTCTTCTGTGTTCTGTCTCCCTGGCCGCTCCCTCTGTGTCCCTTCCTCATATTCTCTCCGTCCTCAGCGCATGAGTTCAAGGAGACTAGGAGAGGCCGCAGGCTCCATTCATGATAGGGGCATGTCTTCGCAGCCAAGAAAACTTCTTTTCTTCTCCCTATTTCGTTTGTTGCCTTGCTTCCACGAATCGATGTTTTTTCCCCCAGCTAACAGTTGTTGCGATTTGCATTGCCAATCGATCTTATCACTCATCAGCTCAAGCCTCAGGAGGAAGGAGAGAAGAACATGCAAGTGCGGGTAGCCGTGATGACTGATGAGAGAGCGAGGCGAGAAATTTGTTTTCCTTTGTCCAAACACAACCAAGCACTTCCTTTTCTAAGGAACGACAGCCTCCAAAATTTATGTAAATATCCATCAATCCAAACAGCCCTTAAAGAGTTCCTGCATATGCCTGCCCAACCGTTCATAATTCTAGCTGGGCAATTTGGTTGCAAGTACTGCACTTAGCACCTTTGGTACACGGATGCTCAATTACTACCTATTCGAATTAAAATAATATACATAAAAGATCAGGCCAACAAAGTGGCTGTAGTTTAGTGGTAAGAATTCCACGTTGTGGCCGTGGAGACCTGGGCTCGAATCCCAGCAGCCACAATGTGTTTTTTACTTTGGATAGGATGCTTGATTTTGGTTATTATCACTCCCGGCAATTAACGAGTCTTCAGTTTTTCTGCCAATTCTTTTCTCTATCGTTGTGAAAAAATTTTGTGCTGTACGGTTAAAATCAGCTGTGAAACACATCTCTATTTTCATCCAAACAAACTACTACTAATAGCCTGATTCTTCCTTTTTTTTTTCTTCTTCTTCCTTCTCCCGCTCGCTTCCTCCCTGTTTCTGTATTTCGACTTCATGTCCCTTCTCAATGGAGAAAAAAATGTCTTCAGAATGTTCTCGAAAAAGAAAGGACATGTCATGTGCTGACCTATGGATAGTAGCTCTACTCTTTACAAGTTGAACAATCCATAGCTTTAGGCGACATGGTACGATGACATCACCCTTAAACATCTCAAATATTTATGTAACAGTCTTCTTCTTCTTCTTTTTTAAAAAAGATAAACATAGTGGGCATTCATTATTATATCTTTGTAAAATTGACCTAGCACCAATACCTTCTATTTTATTGTAATGTCCATAACACAATCAACATGTTCGCTGATTGGTTTCTGGGCTGATAAGCCCGGCTGCTGCTGGTTTGTTGTGAGAGAAAAATATTATTGGCTGACTGATAAGCCTTGACTGAAACCAACAACCAAATGTCTTTAGAATGTTCTTGAAAAAGAAAGGACATGTCATATGCTGACCCATGTATAGTAGTTCTACTCTTTACAAGTTGAACAATCCACAACTTTAGGCGACGTGGTACGATGACATCACCCTTAAACATCCCAAATATTTATGTAACAGTCTTCTTCTTCTTCTTTTTTAACAAAAGATAAGTTGAACAATCCACAGCTTTAGGCGACGTGGTACGATGACATCACCCTTAAACATCCCAAATATTTATGTAACAGTCTTCTTCTTCTTCATAGTAGTTCTACTCTTTACAAGTTGAACAATCCACAGCTTTAGCCGACGTGGTACGATGACATCACCCTTAAACATCCCAAATATTTATGTAACAGTCTTCTTCTTCTTCTTCTTTTTTAACAAAAGATAAGTTGAACAATCCACAGCTTTAGGTGACGTGGTACGATGATATCACCCTTAAACATCCCAAATATTTATGTAACAGTCTTCTTCTTCTTCTTTTTTTAAAAAAAGATAAACATAGTGGGCATTCATTATTATATCTTTGTAAAATTGACCTAGCACCAATACCTTCTAATTTATTGTAATGTCCATAACACAATCAACCTGTTCGCTGGTTGATTTCTAGACTGATAAGCCTAACTAATACTGGTTTATTGAGAGAAAAAAAAACTATTAACTGGCTCATAAGCCGAAACCATCAACCACGGTACTACAAATCCAATCCTTGTTCCAAGTCCGCACGTACGACGACCAAACGTTGACCTGGGCTACTATATAACGCAAGGGGCGAGCTCGTGGTTTCAGATTACTTTGGGTTTCAGCCACACGAGCTTTCACACAAATCCTCCGATGATGCGTACACACTGTCTTGAAGCCTTGAGACATCGACCGTGGAAGAAACGTGTGGCTCTTTAGCAAGGTCAAGAGGTGGTTGAAAGGTACAGCGCAAAACGGTTAAAATATAAATGTATTCTGATGAGCTCTACTTACGTTACAATCTAGAAGTTAAAAAGAACTCACTTGCTACTGCTCCCTATTCAATCACTGCCACAATTACTTACCATATGCTCCTCACTAGAATCTCTTTATAAAAAATATAAAATTTAAAAATCAGAAAGTGGAACTCTGACCTTTAGTGAACTAGGATTCCTACTCTTCTCCTAATACAAATGTGTAGAATTTTTGTTTTTTTGAAGGAGACAAACGAGGTGTTTTCCCCCAAACACCGCCCCATCTCCTTCCTCGTCCCGCTCCCGATCCATCCATCCCCATTCCCCAGTCGCCGCCCGAGTCAAAAAGAGGGAAGCTTCTTCCACCACAGTCCCTTGAGGCCGCCCTCCCATCAACGACTAGACGCTAGTCAAGCAGCACTAACCCTAGCAGCCCCACAACCCTAGGCCCCTCCTCCACACCCCCCTTCCCCGAGAGGCGAGGAAGGAAGGAGACGAAGAAACCATGGATTCCTCCGGCGGCGGCGGCGGCGGCGGTGGAGCGCAGATCAAGGGTATGGCGACGCACGGGGGCCGCTACGTGCTGTACAACGTGTACGGAAACCTCTTCGAGGTCTCCTCCAAGTACGCCCCGCCCATCCGCCCCATCGGCCGCGGCGCCTACGGCATTGTCTGGTGCGTCCCCTCCCCCTCCCCCCCTCCCACTCATTCCCGAGTCCCCGCTCCACTGGTGGTGGCAAATCGACATGCTGTCTTTGCTCTGCCTACGCGCTGGGGTTGCGCGTGTAGATTTGGTGCGGCTGTGACGGGTTAGGCAAAAATATATGGGGAGATGCAAAGTTTGTTTGCCGTAGCCCGTAGATGTGCTTATTATGCTGTAAACATTTTGGGGGCTGTTCCCTTGTTTCAGCGCGGCTGTCAACTCGCAGATAGGGGAGGAGGTTGCGATCAAGAAGGTTGGCAATGCGTTCGACAACCACATCGACGCCAAGCGGACGCTGAGGGAAATCAAGCTGCTGCGCCACATGGACCATGAGAACGTACGTATGTTTGATGCTTTTTACCAGTGCCACTGGCCATTTCTCTGCGATACTTGGATTTGGGGCTTGTCCTCGTTTGTTTGTCCAGAATCTCCTAGCTCTCGGCATTATGTTTGTGTGTGCTTTAGGTTGTCAACATAGCAAGCTTACGGTTGTGCTAGTCTTTTCAATTGTAAAGATCTATGATGCCAATTTGCTAAAAATAGCTGCAACATAAAGTGCCTTTTGTTATTGCTTATGAAAGAAGCACAGTTACTGCAACATCCAGTTGCTATTCAGTGTATTCAAATTTCTGTTTCTCTACATATGTAGAATTTCTATAAATAGGATGGAGGAAGTACTCCATCTTCCGGATTTTCATGGTTGACATATAAAGCGAAGTGGAGATGTGGGGTTGAATTGGGGATGGTGTATGGTTTTCTTTTCAGATTTAATATATTTTGGAGAAAAAACTTTAGCCTTTTCTACTTTGTTAAAAAAGGAATATCCAAAGACCATGACGTGCTGTTTGGTTCCTAGAATAGTAACGTAAATAGAACTGAAATCAGATCACATTGTATGTGTGGCCGTTATGTTAAAAGCTTTGATTCCTTTATGTTTGCGTTACCAATCCTAAAACCAAACAGGACCTGAGTTCAGCTGACACCCACATGGTTGGCTGCACATCCATTGACATTATTTTGGCAGGCTTGTATCATTGATTATCGTTGCTTTTGTTTACATGGCTTAAAGTAGTATTGAGGGTTTGATTTGTCCACAAATTCCGTGTGCATGTGTTATAACCATGTTGTACACTTGTACTCAGCAATGATATTCCTATGATCTAATTTCTCTAATAATTATTTTAATTTGTAATCACAGATCCTTGCCTTAAAGGACGTAATACGCCCCCCAACTAGAGAGAACTTTAATGACGTGTACATTGTTACTGAGTTAATGGATACAGATCTCCATCAGATCATACGCTCAAATCAGCCATTGACTGATGATCATTGCCAGGTCTGTTGCTCCAGCTTGGGCCAAAGTTATGTCATATCAAAATAAATTCCAATCCAACTATCCAAATAAATGTTGCTTGTGCCCAATTCAGAAATTGATTACCATGTATCTTGCTTAGCAACAATGATATATTCTTTATTTGTTTGTTTCCCCTTTTTCCTTGCAGTACTTCTTGTATCAGTTGCTAAGAGGGCTAAAATATGTGCACTCAGCAAATATATTGCACCGCGATCTAAAGCCGAGCAATTTGTTCCTAAATGCAAATTGTGACCTCAAGATCGCAGACTTTGGGCTTGCAAGGACCACCTCGGAGACAGATCTCATGACAGAGTATGTGGTCACTCGTTGGTACAGGGCACCAGAGCTGCTGTTGAACTGTTCACAGTATACTGCTGCCATTGATGTCTGGTCAGTTGGATGCATATTAGGTGAAATTGTTACTCGCCAACCCCTGTTTCCTGGACGGGATTACATCCAGCAATTGAAATTGATCACTGAGGTAAAATTATCGTAATGAATTGTTTGTGCTAGCATTTCTCTTAGTGCAATTCAGTGATTTATGGATTGGTTCCTTTGGAAAAACCAAGATATTAACTTGTCTTGTTTATGCCTATATTGTGTTGAAGTTTTTCCTCTTTATGTATGTTTGAGTAGGAGTCACCTGTGATTTTAACTGAAGTCAATTTGCGATGTTTACCAGATCAGAAATCCAGATTTGACCTTTTAAATGTTTTATCTTAACTTCGTGTTTCTATGAATTTTCCTCTCTTCTATTGATATTTTTCAGAGACATCCTGGTCTATTATTGTAGGATGCATTATTAACTTCTATTAATCTGCACCATTGAGTACCTTTCTCCTTTATTAAATATGACCCTGTAATCTGGGTACCAATATTAATGAGTTTTTTTTTTCTCTTCCAAAAGCTCATAGGCTCACCAGATGATGCAAGCCTGGGATTCCTTCGAAGTGATAATGCAAAAAGATACATGAAACAACTACCACAGTTTCCAAGGCAGGACTTCCGCCTGTGTTTCCGCAACATGTCTCCTGGTGCAGTCGATTTGTTGGAGAGAATGCTTGTGTTTGATCCAAGCAGACGGATTACAGGTACCTGGCTTCACGCATGCCACTTTATTAGTGGTGGCTTAACTATAAACTCAAATACCTTTTTTGTTATGCAGTTGATGAGGCTCTGCATCACCCATACTTGGCTTCACTTCATGAGATCAATGAAGAACCTACCTGCCCTGCACCTTTCAGCTTTGATTTTGAGCAACCATCCTTTACAGAAGTGCATATAAAAGAACTTATCTGGAGGGAATCTTTAGCATTTAACCCGGATCCTCCCTACTAATTTCAAAAGGTCTGTATTGTTTTTGTTTGTCACTTGAGAATGGCTTGCCCAACATAACAAATCACTTAAATGAGTATAGTTTGTCTTAACAATCTAAATCCTAGATGAAAGTGGTTTCTGACAGCAATCTAGACACTGGATAGCTGTTTAGACTTCTTATGAAGTCTTTTATGGTATGTGCCCAGCTTGACTAATTTAGATTCAGAAATTGGTTCTCCTTCAGAACCCTTAGGACAAATACTCATGCACATAGCATTGTGGGAAAATAAATTCAGTCCAGCCCTCCTGTCCCAAATCTATGTGAACTAGCTGAAGCTGTTTGGTACCTTGCTTCAGACAAGTTTCTCTTGCTAATTCACTAGTTTCACTTCGCCGTTTTGAGTGCATATTCTCTTTGATCCACGCCTGCTTCCAAATACATGTATGTTGATGTACCAAATCAGTACATTTCTATTCCTGATGTTGAGTCCTCTAACCCACCCCTTTATGTGGCTTTGTGTGAGTGCAGGATAAGTTATCTGCTGGAGGCATATGAAGATCTCTAGCTCCAGCGGACGCAAGCTGCAATAGCAACTCTATTAGGGCTTGTGAGAGCAAACAACGTCTGTATTCCTTTTCAGATGCCTGAACCCAGGCTTGTATTATACCGCTTGATTTCATAAACTATTCTTATGTATCTAAGCTTGTAATTTTGTAGACAATCACTTGAACGCCCCCTGTATATCTGAGTTGACATCACTTCCCTATTGTAACGTCTCAAACATATTTTATTGTGATCTTACTAAGTTACTTAAGATTGAAGTTGCCAATCAGGTCCCTCTGAATTGCAGCATCTGAAACCAGGCTTTGCCCCATATAAGTGCACAGTACTGAACATTACTTGTTCTTTATGATCGCAACCATCTCATCTTCTGACTAACAGAATGTTCCAAGTAACATTATAATAACAGGAATCCACCTAGTCAATATTGGTGATCACTAGTACAGAAACAAGCTGTACTCCTAATTAGAAAACCCCTTCAGTCTTGTTTTTTCAACCGGGAGCACGAATCTGGGACTAAAGGGCCCTTTTTAAGTCCCGGTTTCTCGTCCGGAACTAAAGGTCCAGGTCCACCTTTAGTTCTGGTCGGTAATACCAACCGGGACTAAAGAGGCCTCCCGGCCTGGCCACATGGGTCGGTCTTTTAGTCCCGGTTGGTGTAGGTTTTCTTTTTTTTTTTCTTTTTTTTCTTTTTTTTCTATTTTCAATTGATGATTCGTTTTGGTTTTTTAATAGGTTTTCGAATACGTATTCTACGCTGCTAATAATATACGTATTCTACACGCTTATAATATTCGAACATTTTATACAAACTAAAGTATAAAACTAACGTATATATTACATGCATATATATATATATTATACGTTATTTTATGTACATATAATATGTATATATATATTACAAATAAAGCTTGCATTGTATATTCTATCATATCCTTGGGATAACAAATTCACTCCATCTGGTTTGGGTTCCATATTTCGTTCATGTCATTGTAGAACTCGCCGGCGGGGTTTAAGACCTGGTCATTAAGAAATCCTGCTATAGTCTGTTGAATTGCTTTCAGTTGGTCACGTCGTATGACTTTTTTTCTTCAACCGTAGTCTTAATAAAAGTTAAAGAAAAAGTATTAATATATATATATATATATATATGTGTGTGTGTGTTGGTCACTCGATTACTTATATATATGAGCAATAAAAGAAATTGTGAATATATGAATATATTTATATAACATACTTTGATGATCTCTTCAGGAGTTCTTTTTGAGTACGCCATGATGAACTCGCAAACATAGTATCCGCAGTAGTTGGTCCCCTGTTCTTGCCTCAAAACTCACTTTTACAAGAAAAAAGATCCGGTGAATTAAAAGCATGCATGGTGTTAATTGAATTATATATATATAAATGTAGCTAGTACTTACTTTGTGTGCGATTATATCCAGTGGCGCTTTGCAATGTTTCATATGGTGTTCCTCAATGAAACTTTTCCAAACATTGCGCCCAATAAAATAAAAAATTAATTTGGCCTTTAATAATTATTGCAGTTAAGAGATCGGGTATCTATAGTTGCTAGAGAGATCAAATTACCCTTAAATAATATCTATCATGTCTTGATACTTTGTTTGCTCTTTTCTTAACGAGTCTAAGATGCTCAACCGACTATTGGCCATATCGATGATCATCAATATCCATTGATTGCTGCATATAGATCGAGTCATGTGCTTAAAATTAATTAAATAACTAAACTCGAAATTCAAGTCTCCAAAGCATAACTTTGATTTCTTATTTTCTAGAAATATTTATTGACAAGTGATATATATAACAAATTTATATATATAACAATATAAATTTAAAACTCTCTAATATGTATAACAAATATATATATATATATATATATATATATATATATATATATATATATATATATATATATACAAATTTATAACTCTCTAATATGTATGTATAACAAATTTATATCTATAACAATATAAATTTATAACTCTAATATATATGTATAACAAATTTAGCTATATAACAATATAAATTTATAACTCTCTAATATAGATGTATAACAAATATATATATATATATATATATATAAATACAAATTTATAACTCTCTAATATATATATATATATATATAACAAATTTATATATATAACAATACAAATTTATAACTCACTAATATATATATATAACAAATTTATATATATAACAAATTTATATATATCAATACACAGTACATTGGGGCCGGCGGCGTTGGTGGCGCGCAGGGCGGCCGGCGTTGGGGCGGCCGGCATTGGGCTTCCAGTCGAGGCCGTGCACCTCCCGCGCGTGCTCGCGGAGGAGGCACATGGGGTTCTGCGGCGGCGGGAGCTGCGCGGTGTCGAGGTCCGACGGCGGCGAGGTCAAGGACGATGAGGTGGCCACGGGCGACGGTGACGAGGGCGGCGGCTGCGGCGGCGGCGATGGGTGACGAAGACGAAGAGTGAAGAGGAAGAAGAAACAACCGCCTTATATAGGGGAGAGACCTTTAGTCCTGGCTCCTATAAACGCCCGGGACGAAAAGACCTTTAGTCCCGGCTGATATTACGAGCCGGGACTAAAGGTATATTTTGGCGGGCCGCAAAAAAATACAGCCCACCTTTAGTCCCGGGTGGTAGATCTACCCGGGACTAAAGTTGGGCTGTAGTTTCACTTCCCGCCCGTTTCAAGCTCTATTTGTTTTTTTATATATTTCTTTCTATAAAATGTTAAAGTATTGTTAATTGCACAGTAAATTAAATACAAGGCATAAAATTGTTTTAAAAGAATATGAATTTACTTTTGCTTTATTGCACACAGAAATTTTGTGTGACCTAAAGTTTTTTTGTTTTTTCTTATAAATATTGAAACATAATGTCATTAATAATTACTATTTTGTTAATGCAAAAATATAGTGTTTAATTTAAATCATTAAAACTTTTATTTTCGATTGGAAATTTGTTTTCACATCATTTTAACGTAAATCTTTTTATTTTTTCATCACTCATTGTCCAAAAGCGACCTGAAAATCCCACCATCAAACACAAATTTAATCTGAACATAGAAAAAAAAGGAAACACCTAATAAACATCTCTGAATTCATAATTATTACATAATACCTCTAATACACACTATTAAGCATCACTATATATATCAAGCGGGCACAGTAGTGAACTTCTTCTTAACGTATATCCCTTGGTTATGATCGCGCCGTAACCATGGAATGTCCTCATCATTTAGCTGGATGCTTGGGTCTTTGTTCACTGTGAAGGGTGGAATTCGGTCATCCTTTTCATAATCTTCTGATATGTCTGACTTGTCTTCAATTCTGACGATGTTTCTTTTCCCTGAAAGAACTATGTGGCGCTTTGGCTCATTGATTGGGTCGTTGTTGTTTTTCTCTCTCTTCGGTTGTGTAGACATGTCTTTGACATAGAACACCTGATTCACATCCTTGGCAAGGACGAACGATTCGTCTTTGTACCCAATATTGTTGAGGTCCACGGTTATCATTCCATACTGGTTGTCGACTGCTACCCCGTCTCCAGTCGCCTTTACCTATTGGCACTTTAACAAAGATACCTTAAAAGTAGGTGCATAGTTTAGTTCCCATATCTCCTCTATGCGGCCATAATATGTTTGCTTATTTCCATTAGGGTCGGTGGCATCTATGCGGACACCACTATTTTGGTTGGTGCTCCTTTTATCTTGGGCTACTGTGTAAAATGTATTTCTATTTATCTCGTACCCTTTGTATGTGAGGATATGCCACGATGGCTGCCTAGCCAACAAATACAGTTGCTCATCAATACTCTCATCACCCTGACATTCTTTTCGCAACCAGTCGCTGAAAGTTTCCATGTGCTGACGCGTAATCCAAGCTTCAGACTTTCCTAGAAACTCGGATCGAAGCAACTCTTTATGTGTCTCGATATACGGATCCACCAAGGAGTTTTGCAGAACTGTGTAGTGTGCTTTATTAAAATAATTGTCCTGCGTACCAATATATGATTTCTTCCCTAGTGTCCCCTTTCCACTTAGTCTCCCCTCGTGTCGCGATTCAGGAACACCAATTGGGTCAAGGTCGGGAATAAAGTCAACACAAAACTCAATGACCTCCTCTGTTCCATAGCCCTTGGCGATGCTTCCTTCTGGCCGAGCACGGTTGTGAACATATTTCTTTAGGACTCCCATGAACCTCTCAAAGGGGAACATGTTGTGTAGGAACACAGGACCGAGAATGCTAATCTCCTTGACCAGGTGAACTAGGAGGTGTGTCATGATATTAAAGAAGGAAGGAGGGAACAGCAACTCAAAGCTGACAAGACATTGAACCACATCATTCTGTAGTTTAGCTAGATCCATTGGATCGATTGCCTTCTGAGAAATTGCATTGAGGAATGCACATAGCTTCACGGTGGCTAAACGTATATTT